CTGCCAGTAAAGCATTCTTCCCTTCCTCAGTCCTACCATTCCTATTCCAATCCCTGTGAGCTCTCCTCATTGTTAATGTCCACCCCTTAAGCATCTTGTCATGTGTATAATTTTCTTTTCTGGGGGGATGCCTTTTTATACTAGATGGTTTCCGGTTCAATGCTGCATTAAATACATCTACCTCCTTAATTAAATCTTCATAAAATGTTTCTGCCGAAACCGGCTTATAAGTATCATACCAAGACTTAATATGGCCAACAAGACCCCTTAATTCTCCCTCATTAAACTTTAACCTTTTCCTCTGAAGGCAGGCATGCTTTTTATCTAGTTTAAGCTGTATTTGTAATGCAAAATGATCACTTAGCATTTCATCCACAGTAAGACAATTCCCCTCTATGCCCTCAGCATTTATTAAACAAGCATAATCTAATCTCCCTCCCCTCAAATGAGTAGGAGAGGGCTCGCCCAGCAGTTGAACATCTTCATGTTCCTGCAAAAACTGGTACCATCTGCAACCATTCCTATTTGCTTTACCCCTTGATCCTAAAGCTGGATGTCTGGCATTAAAATCCCCTACCACAAGTGTATCTTCAGAAAAGAAGGAATCTGGCAAGAATCGTAAATCAAGGGAGCTATCAGAGATGTATAGATTAATGAAATTTAACTCTCGGTCCTTTAATTGTATCCGCAAGCTAATACTTTCAATACCTCTATATCTCTGAGGGATTCCAGTTATCTCGGCAGGTATGGTACTTTTGACATAACATGAGACCCCCCTAGTTCCTCCATCAGCATATAAATGAAAACCTCTATAGCCATTTAGCCTCAGTATGCTACCATCCCTATCCCCAGTTTCCTGGAGTGCAACTATGTCAATATCCTCTCTAAGAGTATAATAGTGTACATCCGCCGCTCTAGTTTTTAATCCATTAATGTTCCAAGATAATATTCTCAATTTACTTTCATCCATGATTAATAATAAAACTACCTTTGCCCTGTCCGTCACATTCCATGAGATACAAGAGTACCTTAGAAACTTCCTTCCAACACCGTAACATTTTTTCTTTCTCCTCACTTTCACAACTACTACTAACATCGAAGGTAATATTTTTCATATCTATTTTCTTTGTAATTTCTGTAACCCGTTTTACTTTAACCGTTCTTTCACCAGTTGTCACAACAGGAGGTTGAACACCGCTAACACTACTAGAAAGTGTATTCTCCTGACTATCCTCTATCATCGTTACCTCATGCACATCATTACTTTCTTCTACGCACGTTTCACTTTCCATTTCACGTCTCGTTTTACTTTCAATTACACGTCCTGTTTCACCACCATCTTCACCCCGTCTACCTTCCATAGCCAATTTTTCCAATGCCTCAATCCTCTTATCTAGTTTTTTTAGATACTCCAATATTTGATTACCAACCTCAGAGGTGACCATATTGTCCTGAACCTTGTCGTCACAAGGTTTCAGTTTGTCCACTGCATGATGTACTTTCCCTAAGCTCGCCTTTACTTTCTCCGTCCCTTTTTCCCACACATTGATCATAGGGGCTGCCGTTGACTTCCAACTGTTTCCTCCATGTTCCTCTTGCACAATTTTTCCTTGCTGCGAGGATACATCTATCCTGCTTGTAGGACCCGTTCTAGTCTCTTTCAGATGAGGCTTCATGGAGCATAGAGAGGAACCAGCATTGTGGCTGCCTCGACAGTTGCAACAAAATGGGATGATTTTTTCACTTCTTTCAATCTTGACTCTACACTCTCGCGAGTCGTGATTTTTCCCACAATACCGACACCTGGGGTCAAACTGGCATTTCCATGCCATATGTCCCCAACGTGAACACTTCATGCACAGTATGGGCTCCTCAACGTATTTTGCAACGTTCCTATAGCCTAGTCCTTGCACAAAAATTTTCTCCGGCGCCTCACCCTTTACCAAGGCAACAACCTGGCTTCGTTTGTCACCACGAACACTGTTTCTCTTCGCCCAGACAACATTATCATTGTTAAGAAGAAGACACTCAGGATCCAAATAAGTTGGAAACTTGAAAACTATGATCTTTGTGTGCAACATACCTTCTTCTGGAGGAACCATCACTACATTCTCAAAACCAACCGTCGTGAGGCGTTCCACGGCCTGTTCAGTCCCAACTTTTATGTAGGGCCGGTGAAGACCCTCCTTGAAAAGTGGTTCGTATTCCAAACATTGTTTAGCTAGACGTACCGTCCACTCTAGCTTTTGGTGGAAATTCAATTGGCATGATGTAGGGAACAACAGCCTCTTCCTTCTTGTCTTGTCTTGAGTCTTGCTGAGTAGGGTCTCATTCTTTGGTCTCTTTGCAATCTCATCGTCACTCTCACTGTCTCGCTGTCTGTTATTATTTCTCCGTTTCTTTTTGTTCACTACTAGTTCAAACGGTCGATTATCATCTTGTCTGTCCTCCTCACTACCACTTGGGCATACCGCCTCAGCCATTTCTTCGACGCTGTCAATAATCGAGAACAAATGCACAATATCCTGTATCACCACGTGCAAAAACGAAGAGTGTGGGGCAATCCTCCACCTCCCACCAATCAGCGGACGCCAAGAGCGCCAACCTAGCGACCGCACACAACCGTGGTCTGGATACAACTCGTTTATGGAACCTAGTTTATGGAACTCACTCCCTAGTGAATTGAAAAACTGTAAAACTTTTGCCTTATTTAAAAGCAAAACCAAAAAGTACCTAACTTCATCTTCTTAGTTTTCCTACACTGAGCTTTAAATTTGCTCTGTACCTAGTGTTACCCAATCTCCTAATTTTTATGTAATTTCAAACAACCTTATCATTGTGTTCATTGCTGTCTTCTTTTATGTGCTAGCCATATGCTGTATTGTGACTACCAATTTTTGTCAACTACCATTCAAGCTGTCATTGCAACCAATCTTATATTGTTTCTGCTGTATTATGACTACCAATTTTTTTGTCAACTACCATTCAAGCTGTCATTGCAATCAATCTTAGCTACCTATGTGCTTTAATATACTGTACCTACAATTTTCTCTCATCTTTTTTTTCATTTCATGTAATCTGTTATCATTTTTTGTCTATAATTTTGCAAGTATTTACCTCCTTAAAATTTTCTTAGATTAAGGACCTGCACGAAACGCTGCGCGTGCTAGTGGCTTTACAAGACTGTAATTACCATATTTGTATCCTCACATTCCTTATGTACATTCTTGTATATGCATAAATAAATAAATAAATAAATAAATATCAACCCATGTCTTGCTATTTTAATCAATGCTGCTTGCTGACCAACTTGTAAAATTACTATTCTCTGTCATGTTCCCCTCCCTTTTTTTAATTCCTTTTTTTCAACACAATTTATACTTTATGCTCAATTACTATTAAGTGTTAGTCTAAGTGTTCTCCCCCCCCCCCAACACACACCTTGCTCGAAACGCTATGCATATTAGTGGCTTTAGGTATTAAACCTCTATCTTTAAATCCAACATTATGTTTGTAACTCATTTTCAATGTATGTACCTTTACCTGAATTAAAAAATCTAAATTTAATAGAAACCAAGCTAACGTTGATTGAAATAAGGGTAAAAGGAATTGCTGCATGCATGCTGACCAAGATATGAATATCACCATAAAAAAATGGTGATATTCAAAAACAAAACCAAAAAGTACCTAATTTTTTTTTTTTTTGAGATATATACAAGAGTTGTTACATTCTTGTAGAGCCACTAGTACGCGTAGCGTTTCGGGCAAGTCCTTAATCCTATGGTCCCTGGAATACGATCCCCTGCCGCGAAGAATCGTTTTTTCATCCAAGTACACATTTTACTGTTGCGTTAAACAGAGGCTACAGTTAAGGAATTGCGCCCAGTAAATCCTCCCCGGCCAGGATACGAACCCATGACATAGCGCTCGCGGAACGCCAGGCGAGTGTCTTACCACTACACCACGGAGACTTCTTCTAATTTTATCTTCATAGCTTCCTTCCGTGTGCTTTAAACTCGCCCTGTATCTAGTGCTACCCAATCCCAAAGAAATAATCCTCAAATTATGCTGTAACTGTTCATCATATCCCAATTTTACTATAATGTACCTACTAATTTTCTTACAATGCACATGTTGACTTTTTCAATTTTGCTTCAAATTACCTTCTTAAAATTATCTGTTAGAATAAGGACCTTCCCGAAACGCTATGAGTTTGTGGCTTTACAAGAATGTTAAAACATCAATGTTATGTACTCTCATAAACCCAATGTACCTTCTTGTATATATATAAATAAATAAATAAATAAATAAATAGTTGAAGAGGTGCTCTTTATGATTTTAGTTTACATAGCTAGTACATTCAACAATATATATTTTTTTAATTCGCTAAAAGTGAAATTCGGACGTAGTGTAAAAATTTACGAAATAATTATAAACATTTATAAATTTTATCATTGATCAAATTGATTAAGATTTAGATTAAGGACCTGCCCGTAACGCTGCGCGTACTAGTGGCTTTACAAGAATGTTATTACTATGCTATGTATCCTCACAATCCCAATATACCTTCTTGTATATATATATATATAAATAAATAAATAAATGATAAAATGTATTGCTTCATGGGTCCATTATCTCTCCGCCACGCCGGAAATACTTAAATCTTTAAAAACGGGTTAAGTAACTTAGTCTACTGAACAATTACTTAATGGTTTAATTGTATACAATCCCTCATAAACCACCAGGAAAATATATTTTTAGTAAATAGAGTTAAATTACACGAGGACAATGATCTATATGAATAAAATGTGTATATATATAATCTTTCTCTGTTTCCCCGGGTAATGTTTGACAGCGATAGGAATCAACAAACTGACTACTTATGTCACAATAGTTTAAACGAGGTGTCTACCCATATATTAACTATGAAATTGCTGTAATTAATGCCAGTGGTTGGGATAGCGGGTTGTAATGGTGAGGATAGTGAGTGTAGAGGGGTGAAATAATGAGTGATAGTCGAGTGTGTGGCGCGAGGCGGCGAGGAGCGGCCGTCGACGTGTTGTGTAGAGAACAGCTGTGTGGCCGCCGCTCTCCCCGCCTCGCCCCACCATGCTCAACTTTACCACTCTCCAATGGCTCCTCTCTCTCCTCGCGGTAACGCACGCACTCTACACTCTTAGTACAGTAGGGGGAAGGTCGGCTGGTGGTCCTGGGTGAGTGAGGGAGGTGAGTGTGTGTGGTGGTGGTTGGTGAGGCTGTCATCTGTGGCCGGGTGTCGAGCTGTCGGGACAACTCGCCCCACCTCTATCTCACTCCTGAATCATTATATTGTCGCTAATTACTCTACCACCATCATTCACACACCTCAGGTTGTCGTGTGTGGGTTGTGTGGAGCACAGCACAGTCGGGACAACTCGCTCCGTCTCTATCTCACTCCTGAATCATTATATTGTCGCTAATTACTCTACCACCACCATTCACACACCTCAGGTTGTCGTGTGTGGGTTGTGTGGAGCACAGAGCACAGTCGGGACAACTCGCCCCATCTCCCTCACTCGCCTGACCCATTATATTGCTGCTCTACTTACTCTACCACCACCATTGACACCTCTCGGGCTGGCTGGGCACGTTGCTTCTCAAACGTCTTGACTGTGTTTAGTCCAGAAATATTTTAATGACCAAGATCATATTCAAAACCAAGTTAACTTCTTAACTTCTTGTTTGGGTCTAAGCCCACATACTTAGGGCGTGAACCTTTTTTTTTTTTTTTTAATGCTGGGATCTTTTGGCTCACTCGTTGCTGAGCCTTGTGGCTCACTCGTTGCTGAGCCTTGTGGCTCACTCGTTGCTGAGCCTTGCGGCCCACTCGTTGCTGAGCCTTGCGGCTCACTCGTTGCTGAGCCTTGCGGCTCACTCGTTGCTGAGCCTTGTGGCTCACTCGTTGCTGAGCCTTGTGGCTCACTCGTTGCTGAGCCTTGTGGCTCACTCGTTGCTGAGCCTTGTGGCTCACTCGTTGCTGAGCCTTGCGGCCCACTCGTTGCTGAGCCTTGCGGCTCACTCGTTGCTGAGCCTTGCGGCCCACTCGTTGCTGAGCCTTGCGGCCCACTCGTTGCTGAGCCTTGCGGCCCACTTGTTGCTGAGCCTTGAGGCCCCTCGTTGCTGAGCCTTGCGGCCCACTCGTTGCTGAGCCTTGCGGCCCACTTGTTGCTGAGCCTTGTGGCTCACTCGTTGCTGAGCCTTGCGGCCCACTCGTTGCTGAGCCTTGCGGCCCACTTGTTGCTGAGCCTTGAGGCCCCTCGTTGCTGAGCCTTGCGGCCCACTCGTTGCTGAGCCTTGCGGCCCACTTGTTGCTGAGCCTTGTGGCTCACTCGTTGCTGAGCCTTGCGGCCCACTCGTTGCTGAGCCTTGCGGCTCACTCGTTGCTGAGCCTTGCGGCCCACTCGTTGCTGAGCCTTGCGGCTCACTCGTTGCTGAGCCTTGCGGCCCACTCGTTGCTGAGCCTTGCGGCCCACTCGTTGCTGAGCCTTGCGGCCCACTCGTTGCTGAGCCTTGCGGCCCACTCGTTGCTGAGCCTTGCGGCCCACTCGTTGCTGAGCCTTGAGGCCCCTCGTTGCTAAGCCTTGCGGCCCACTCGTTGCTGAGCCTTGCGGCTTGGTGCTTGTAATTGCTATGTCTTTCTGCATTTTTCACTTTGTTAGCCTTCCGGCTATTTTCCTTATACTGTGCCTTGCGACGTTTGTGGGAAAGTCGAGTATACCTCGGATATATACTGCACTTGACCGTTCCCCAGAATGCCACCCACAACAGTCTACTAACACCCAAGCTCCTAATTACTACTACCAGGAGCATAATAATAATAATGTTTGTTCAGGTAAAAGTACATACCTGTACATTCAAAATGAGTTGCAAACAGAATGTTGGATTTCTAGGTAGAGCTTGTACATACTATGCCTAAAGGCACTAATACGCACAGCGTTTCGGGCAACCAGGATATTTTAGACCAGGAACGAGGTCTTGGTAGTACTGTAGTTGAGTTTGTTCTCGACTCCCTGTCGGGAATCTTGGATTTGAATCGGGGATGGGACAGAAATGGTCGGGCACGTTTCCTATCACCTAATGCCTCTGTTTACCCAGCAGTAAATAGATACCTGGGAGTTAGGTAGCTATTGTGGGGAGGGTCAGTAGTTTGATCTTGCAGGGGGGGGGGAACCTTATTATATGTGCCTATCATCTATATACACAGTCTGCTTGTCCCTGACAAGATTAATTATTAAAGACCAGCAATATAGCACACCTGACAGCTGAGTGAACAGCGCTTCGGATTCGTAGTGCTGAGGTTCCGGGTTCCAATCCCCGGTGGAGGCGGAAACAAATGGGCAGTTAGTTTCTTTCACCCTGATGTGTTTGTTCACCTAGCAGTAAATAGGTACCTGGGAGTTAGACAGCTGCTACGGGCTGCTTCGTGGGTAACAAAAAGGAGGCCTGGTTGAGGACCGGGCCGTGGGGACGCTAAGCCCCGAAATCATCTCAAGATAACCTCAAGATAGTACACCATATAAATTTATTAGTTATAAAACAAACGACCATCGGTGGAAGACACGGGACGTTAGAACCTCATTTGATATAAAAAGCTCTATATGTGTATAAGCTCTATATATATGTACAGTACAAAAATGGAGAAGGCAATCTTACACAACAATTTATATCATCAAGAACAGTTAAAAATGAGGTAAGAAAAGCAAAAAAGAAATTAATATGTATAGCAGGGCAGGCAAAATTAAACCTCAAAAAGTTCTTTCACTAATGCGTGTATTGTACTTGATAAATGCGGTTATCATCGTGAATGATGATGACCAGGGAATGCGGTCATCGTCATACGATGATTTAAACAATTATTGAGTTTTACATGTATGATGCAAATATACAAATAATAGCTCTATGTGAATATAAATTAAGAGGAACAAGTGATAATCAGTGAAACGTGAGGATAACACAGGAAGCATCGGCAAAATAGAGCACCTGGTGTTGACAGACGCCAGAGAAGAAAATGCAGAATAGAACCAGTGAAGAGCAGAGGTGCCATAGGCACAATCAGAGAACACTGTATAAACATCAGAGGTCCACAGTTGCTCAACATCCTCCCAGCGAGTATAAGAAATACTGCCGGAACAACTGTGGACATCTTACAGAGAAAATTAGATATTTTCTTCAAGAAGTGCCGGACCAACTGGGCTGTGGTGGATATGTGGGCCTGCAGGCTGGTCCAAGCCTGATGGACCCAGCTCTTGGAAGTCAAGCCTGGCCCTGGGCCCGGGCTTGGGGAGTAGTAGAACTCCCAGAACTCCATGCAGGTACAATCCAGGTAGGTTCACAGCCACCGCACACTCTTCCAGAGTAATTCCACCCAGTTAAACGATAAATATTCACTTATTTTCACATTTTTCTTACTTTTGCATACAAATTAATAATGAAAATTTTTATTTTTCCTTTTTTTCTTTCATGAAGGCAGCAGATATGACCATTTCTCCATAGCTGCTGTCCAATGGTTAAAGGGAAAAAAAAAAGTTAAGAAAATCTTTCAGTTAGAGACTGCCTCTGTGTTACATCACGTAAGGGAAAATACATCACTTGAGTGAGCAACTTTACAGGGTCAAGACTGGTCCCTTTGAACAAGACTATGTAGTCTGCTATTTGAAGAAACTCTATTTAGCATGGAAATACACTATACAGCTTGCACATGCAGTTTGTTTAAATTTCTATATTACTGTACATGTTATAATATTAGATACAATTTCATTATTTTCTATTAAATGCATGTTTTAATGTAATTTGTGTTATGATCAATGGCCACCACTTGTCATCCAGTAACAGGACTGCAAAATCCAGTAATTCAGATCTCTCTTTTAATTTATCAAGAACTTGGACTCGATTTTGACCATATTATCCAAAGGGCCAGGTTACTGAGGTCTTAATTAACACGCTCCGAATTAGGAAGTTCTTACAGTGACTGACATCACTTTTTATTATCTTTTTATTTTCTGTGGCCCAGTCAAAGACTGTTGGTATCAGTAGTTTTTCAGTGTCTCCTGCTGGGGCAATTACACATACTGATTTTGGAGCTTATTCTCCATATTATACCAAGTGTCCATGCCATTGAAACCTTGGATTTCTTCATAAATGTCGCGTTTAGGAGTGAAAACCCAGGGCTGAGTACATGGATATGTTATCAATTTCTTTTTTAAAGTCTGCTATATTTGTGTTAGTATTCTTGATGTATTGTCAGAATTGTGGATGTCGTTCATAAAAGCTATTGAGGTTGGAGGCCTCTATTCCTAGTGCTCTGTCCTCTCCTTTCTCCCATTCTTGGGGGTTTTGGGGAGGGGAAGGGACTTGGGGATTGTGAGCTCCAACCCTGAACCGTTCAGCAGCAGGGGCATCTCTGGAATTTGGGGTTGCCTGAGGAGGGCAACCTATGATTATCTTTTGATCCACTTTTGGAATTTGGATCTTGAACCATAGGGTTTCTTGTGTGTTGATTTTTTCATACCCTTTATTCCAGTAAGAGTTGCATACCGCATCAGCTCTCCCTCAGGTGCATTGCCGAGTCTCGGTTTGTGGCTTGGATTATCCGCCCTCTTCCTCGCATTTGCACAGATATCTGCAGTCTCATCTGTTTCAAGTTTGGCCCAATGGGACTTGCATCGATCTCTACTCGGAACCACAATTTGTGCATCTCGATCCAATTTTGTTTGAGCTTGCATCCTCTTGTACTCCCAGGCTAATGTCTTAGATCTGAATTTTCTTCTGTGTAGCAGGCAGTCCCTAATTTCTACGGACAAGTGGTAGCCTTTCTGTTGAATGCAGGGCCTTGAGTGGAAAAAAGCAGCTGCAGTTTTCCAGGTCTTTGTTGGGACTCTCCAATTGCTGCTATTAACAGTGCTCTGTTCACTTCTGTCCTTTCCTGTGATGTTGGGGATCTGCTTCATATCTGGGTGCTGAAGCTTCAAGCTTCATATCCGAGTCCTACAGCATTTAAGGTTTTCCGTCCGAGAGCACTTTGTTGTCCACTGTTGCAGCCACAAATGCTTTCCCAAGATGTTTGCCTCTCAGGAAGCAGTGATAGCCTTCTCTACTTGCCTAATTGTACTCCCCTAATTGTGCTTGCGGGGGTTGAGCTCTGACTCTTTGGTCCCGCCTCTCAACGACCAATCAACAGGTGTACAGGTTCCTGAGCCTATTGGGCTCCATCATATCTACACTTGAAACTGTGTATGGAGTCAGCCTCCACCACAGCCTAATGCATTCCATTTGTCAACCACTCTGACACTAAAAAAGTTTGTTCTAATATCTCTGTGGCTCATTTGGGCACTCAGTTTCCACCTGTGTCCCCTGGTGCGTGTGCCCCTTGTGTTAAATAGCCTGTCTTTATCTACCCTATCAATTCCCTTGAGCATTTCCTCTGTGGTCCTCATTGTGTTAGTCCATCTAAAGAGGTTTGCTTGGTCATTGCCCTTGCTGTTAACTACCATATTTTCTCCTCCTTATTCCTGAAGGGAAAATTAGGCAAGTTCTGGTGACAGCCTTGGCTTGGGAAGTGGATGAGCTCCCAGGAACCAGTTCCAAGTATGATCCATGTATGACCATGTGGGGTCGGCATTATTACTGTGCTGTTTCACTGATATATAATGTTCAGGAAGAAAGAACATGCTGTATCTTAAAGGAATTTAATTGTCTGTCTTGTAATTACTTGGCAGAAGTTGCTTGTCTACCTTCTCTGTTGCATTATTGCCATTAGAGCCTTGCCTGACCTTATGTGACTCGCTGTGTGTTGATACCCTAATTTTTTATTTTTTAAGGATGGTCAGGAAGTGTCTTCTCCTCCAGTAAAAGAAAAAAAAATATGGTAATGAGTGTGTGCAAAATTTCAGGCATTAATATGGCTAAAAATGAAAATGTAAGCCAAAATGTTTTGATTGTGTGGGCACCATTCACACCCCCTAAACTGCCAGTCTATTGCACACATGCTCTATTCATGCATTATAGCTAAATGCATACACATTTTTGTGTGCATACAAAGCAAATTTTTCTGTTAATCTCTTAATAAAAATCAAATACTCTCTGCTCTGCCTGGAACGCTGTGCGTACTAGTGACTTTACAAGATTGTAAATACTATGCTATGTATTCTCACAAACCCAATGTACCTTCTTGTACATATAAATAAATAAAATAAAAATAAAATAAAATGATTAGCATATAATGCAATGTTTTATGTTTTCAGGTGGTTCTCCAGTTCAGAAAAATACAGGGAGGAGCTTTACAATTGGACAGTAGCAATTTTGACAGTATCATAGGTAGGTGGAATATCTCGTGTGTGTCTTTTTGCATTAGTTTTGCGGTTCAGGGGGTCCTTAAATATATAACTTATGAACACCCAATCTTACAAAAGGCCTCCCATTTTGACTTCTGAATCTACTATTAAACCAGCTTTGTCATCCCTTGTAATAGTGCTTGTAAAGGGAGCCGGTCGGCCGAGCGGACAGCACGCTGGACTTGTGATCCTGGGTTCGATCCCAGGCGCCGGCGAGAAACATTGGGCAGAGTTTCTTTCACCCTATGCCCCTGTTACCTAGCAGTAAATAGGTACCTGGGTGTTAGTCAGCTGTCACGGGCTGCTTCCTGGGGATGGAGGCCTGGTCGAGGACCGGGCCGCGGGGACACTAAAAGCCCTGAAATCATCTCAAGATAACCTCAAGATAACCTCAAGTGCTGCTATTATCTGTATGGCTATGTGGTGCTAAGATGGCATTGGTGGGTGCTGTGTTGCTGACCCACACTGCCTGTGGGGAGAACTGACTAGTGGGATTTTATTATTTAAATTACAGTACTATTATTAATTAATTTATTCAATGATTTATAATTTACTTTGTTACTAATTTATTTCTTAAGATAGCGGACTGTATGATACGATAGTGGACTGTATGATTCTAAATTTCCCACAAGTATCTTTCCTTCACAGGTTTGTGGGGAAGGGGGTACTTATATTATATGGAATCAAAATTAATCGATTGATATAAAATTTTTACTACCGATGGTTATTCTAAAATTTCATTAATGGTTAGTAATGAGTAAATGTTTGTCAGCTTAGCTGTTTTGTGGAATGTAGTCTGATTAACAAGCCATGGATACGTCCGAATCACTTCAACCAAATCTCCTTGTGGATCAGGCTATAATGGCATCATGGTGTGCCTCGTGTTCAGCCAGGTCATTTGCTATTACTATGCTTATTAATTTGTTGGAGTTCTATGGGCCTACCGGGAGCCACGAGCCAGAACCTGGCTCCCTCTAGAGAGGCAAGGGGAGCAATGGCCTATAGAAACCCCCGTGTGATTGGAAGCATTCTATGACTGCCATCGACCAGGTTAGGCACCCAGAAAGGTAGGCGTTCCAAAACAAGCCGCTATTCTGGTGAAAATTGCAACCAAAAGCCGAACAAGTGGATAGAACTCCCCAAACAAAAACGAGCAAACTAGTATGACGTCACACGTCACCGCGCCGCTGTCTGCACAGCTCTCCCCTCCCCGGGATGGGGAAGGGATAGACCCACCGCGCCGGCGATCCACACCCCAGTTCTTGAAGCTGATGCTATCAGCTCGGTTGTGTGCTCTGGCTCCAGTCTTTTTGTGGTGCTGTGCCTTGTGTGTGGTGACTGTACTCCAGGAGTGCCTTGGCGCCTACCCGAGCCCTCGCTTGATGTGTTCGTGGACATGTCGTCTCTTGGCTGGGGCTTTGTGACCAGTGCTCACCAGGCCGGCCAGGGACGGTGTGGTCCATCCTTCCGTCGAGCCCACAGCACTGTGCGGGAGTTTGCGGCAGTGTGGTTTGCTCTTCAGAGGGAGGCTTCGAGTCTCCCGTGAGTCGACGATCCGGCTCCATTCGGACTGCTTCCCGGTGGTTCATTGTCTGAACTGGGGGGGAGGGGAGTGGGATTGATGCAGTCCTTGATGGACGGTCGACGCCGACTCCTTCCGTTGGCTTTGCCAGACGTTCAGACACCTTGAGGTGGACCTCTTCGCGTCGGCGTGGTTGCAGCGCCTTACCCTGTATGTGGCTCCCTTTCCCGCGAGACAGTATGTGGCTCCCGTATGTGGCTCCCTTTCCTTCAACCCCAAGGCCGTTGGGGTTGATGCCTTTCTGCAGGACTGGTCGAGGTGGAAGTTCCTGTACCTCTTTCCTCCGGTTCAGCTGTTGCTCCGGGTCCTGACTCGCTTGGAGACTTACCAGGGGCGAGTTGTCCTCTTGGCCCTGTCGTGGCCGGCCCAGCCGAGGTTTCAGGCGCTGCTTGCTCGGTGTTCAAACCCGGAGGTTTTTCCGCGGCTCCGCCTCTTCCAGCAGATCGGACCTGTACGTCACGTGGCTGGTTCGATCTTCTCCTCCAGTCTTCGCGTATGGTATTTTTGACTCGCGTTTATCATCATCTCTTTGGTGATCAGGATGCTTCCTTATTAGTGTCCCACCTGCGGGCTTCGTCTCGGTGGCAGTATGAAATTTCCTGGCGGTTCTTCCGGTTCTTCTTAAGTCTTCATCGCTGTACTTCACTTTCTGTTAGGGTGGTGTTGTCCTTTCTCTCTTGGTTGTTCCAGGACCGTCTCCTTATGCCTAACACTGACGCCTCATATCGTGCGGCGCTGGCAGAGCCACTTCAGCTTGCTTTCGGTATTGATGTCACATCTGTGCCGTTTCCCAAGCTGTCTCGGGCGTTGTTTCACCTCCGTCCTGCTCATGCGCCGCCTGAGCCGTCCTGGTCTTTGGACAGAGTGCTCTCTTTTCTTTCTTCTCCTCGTTTTGTTGTGGCCCCTTCTGTTCCGGATTGTTTTTCAAAGGCTTTTCCTGTTGGCATTGGCCTCTGGGGGTTGGGTTGGGGAGCTTCATGCTCTCTTCTGGCGCAGAGGTTTCTGCTCCTTCGGTCAGGGAGATCGGTTTGTTCGTTTGCAGCCTTCTTCTTTTCTGGCGAAGACTGAGATTGCTGCTTTCCGGAGGGGTCCCTGGGTTGTTGATGTTTGGTTGGTTAGGCCAGGGGTGCATCATGTTTTATGTCCAGTTGCGGCTCTCCGCCATTATTTGCGCGCCACGGCTTCTGTGTCCGTGGACGCGCTTTGGGTTGATCCGGTTTCCTTCTTTCCTGTTCGAGGGTGCAGGTCTCCCAGGTCGTCCGCAGGGTTATTAAGGCTAGCCAGCCTGCGGTCTATCCCTGTGCCCATGATGTCCGCAAGTTCGCGACTCTTGCCGCCATCTTTGGCAATATGTCCTGGGCTGACATTCGGGCGCGGGGATTTTGGCGGTTGAACAGGGTCCTGGCTGCTCGTTACCTTGTAAATGTTCCTGGGCCCAGTCGGGCCTGTGTCGCTTTGGGTCGGCAGATGCAGCCAGTTGTCTCGGCTTCGGGTTGAGGAGTGAGCAACAGGGAAGAAGGGATGACCTGGCCTCCCGGGTAAGTCCCTATCTTTTCCTCTGTTGGTAGTTAGCTCCAGGGAGCTGTAGGGGCTCCCCCCAGAAAACCAACATTGAATGTAATGAAATGCCATTTTCTGGGTGAGACCCGGAGGCTCCCCAGCATCCCTCCCTCCCCCCGGTTGGCATTTTTTTTTTTTTTTTTTTTTGAGTGCTTTGACATCCAGCCTCTGAACTGGGGTGTGGATCGCCAGCACAATGGGTCTAGGGCTACCCCTTTCCCCTCCCGGGGAGGGGGGGGAGCTGTGCAGACAGCAGTGTGACGACTGGTGACGTCATACTAGTTTGCTCGTTTTTGTTTGGGGAGTTCTATCCACTCGTTCGGCTTTTGGTTGCAATTTTCACCCCTTGCCTCTTGGGGGGGCCAGGTTCTGGTTCGTAGTCCCCTGTAGGCCCATAAGAACTCCATACACATGACTGATGCCAAAGTCTCTGACATTAGCATATCAGCCTAGTAAGCTCTGGGAAGCCTCCGGGACTCGCCCAGAAAATGGCGTTTCATTACATTCAACGCTGGTTTTTTGTGCATAGGCAGATATGATCATTTCTCCATAGACACTGTCTAACTGACAAAATTTATACAGTATATAATATTTCCTAATACACTAAAAATTCTGATTATATTCAGATGTTGGTAAATATCATAACTAAATAATTGAATATATTTTAAAAGAATTTAGAATGTGCAGTAATTAGTATTGTCAGGTATATAGATTATGGTGTGGTGGGTGTGCGAAGGTTCCGACTCAGGAATAATTGTAGGGTCGTTTAATCAGTAGTGTTTCATAAACTTTATTTATTATTTGTGTGTAAACATTAAACAAATGTAAAAACTTGAAATTCAAGACCCATAGAGCCCAGGTGAATGGAATTGAACAAACGTGTATAGTACTTTCATCTGATGGGGCCTCGTAGCCTGGTGGATAGCGCGCAGGACTCGTAATTCTGTGGCGCGGGTTCGATTCCCGCACGAGGCAGAAACAAATGGGCAGAGTTTCTTTCACCCTATGCCCCAGTTACCTAGCAGTAAAATAGGTACCTGGGAGTTAGTCAGCTGTCACGGGCTGCTTCCTGGGGGTGGAGGCCTGGTCGAGGACCGGGCCGCGGGGACACTAAAGCCCCGAAATCATCTCAAGATAACCTCAAGATAGATGTTATAAAGCACTGCAATAATTTCAGAACAGGTCAAGAACCATTTAGTCTGACTATGAAGATGCACTATATTGTAATACTGTGTTTTAATGTGTATTACTTAATGATGTCATTATTTCTCTTGCAGGTAGTAATGAACTGGTCTTTATAAATTTTTATGCAGACTGGTGTCGTTTTAGTAACATATTAGCACCCACATGGGACGAGACTGCCGATAAGGTTCGAGAAGCATTCCCAGACAATGGTCGAGTTGTCATTGGAAAAGTTGACTGTGATGCAGAATGTGAGTATTTTTGCATGTTTCTGTGTGCTTATTAGAATCCTAATCAACTTGGCTATTCCCAGATAGTGATTGTAAAATATAGTTTCAAAGGGTTCAAAAAGGAGCTATTTCACATGATGACAAATGCAAAGAGGGGATTTTAGTGTAAAAATTTCTCTCTTAATTTAGTACTGTTGTCCCATGGTATAACAACATGCATTGTACTATGTATGTTGTCAATATCATATCAGGACTCACTGCTGCTGTAGTGGTCTCCAATGGTGCTGTTCAGTAGTGAATTTGATGATATGGGTTCGTATCCTGGCCGTGGAGGATTTACTGGGTGCAAATCCTTAACTGTAGCTTCTGTTTAACTCAACAGTAAAATGAGTACTTGGATGTAAAAACGATTCTTCGCGGCGGGGATCGTATTCCAGGGACCTGCCCGAAACGCTACGCGTACTAGTGACTGTACAAGAATGTAACAACTCTTGTATATATCTCAAAAAAAAAAAAAATATGTGTATATGTTTATGCCTTGTTTCACCACCAACAGCAACTGTTCCCGATGTGCTAGTTGAAATATTTCGATTGGCTAATTTCTTGTGATGCTAACTTCATGGTGTAGGTGACTTTAACACCAATTTTTCTTGACACGATGCTCTATTAACCACTGCACTGCTCGGTCTTATAATATGATAAACCCGTGGTCCATAGAAAATAAATTATTTCCAAATAATGATTTTATCTTCTATTGTTAAAATGCAGTCTCTGATCAGGGGAAACTAAAAAAAAAAATTGTATTTGACATACTTTAGCCGCGATGGAGCTGGGAAGTTGAGCATATTATGGGCACTGAGTGATGGAGCGCTCAAGGTCACATGGCCCCGCCTCCCAGTGGGGGGGGGGGGCGGCAGTTTCCGTGAATATAATGTTTCACAATTACTTGTATTTTGATGTTTCTCATTTGTTTCTTCTTTTTTTTCCATAATATTATTGAAAAGTATGTAATTTATGGAATTTATATAGTTCAATGTGGGGAACATCGCTATGCTCAAAATTATGGGGCTCATATATGTGACACATATTATATTCTACGATCAATCAAACAGTGTTTTTTGCTGTTATTACACTATATACACACAATGTATATACCTATCTACATATATGTTGACAATAATGAACCAGTAAGTTGGTATGGTGAGTCCAGACATCAAGAGTGGGCTGCCACACCCAGCCAGCCAGCCCTCCCTCCCTCCTTCAACAACTAACTTGCCAATTTTACTCCTTCCACAATACTGTTTGTGGTGTTATTACACTATATCCACACGTTATATATAAGTATCCACATGTTTTATTCACCATAACTATAACTAAGCTGGTATGGTGCCCAAACAACATAGTGGCAACAAAATGCTCTATAACAAGTCACACAGCAGCCAGCAGACGATACTAGGAGACGTCACCAACTCTCCCTCCCTCCCTCACCAAGATTACGTCTCCCATCATACTATGCACAGCGCTGATTCTCACCACAATCCTGTTGTTATCAGAATCCTGGTCACTAAATCCTGTAAATGATTAATTTTCTGCAAGTTTATTTTGTAAAGGGACATGAAAAGTCACTTGAAGATTCCTAGATGAACGAAATAATGGCAGTGTGCTGTGGCTGGCGCTGTGAACATTTTGAACAACATTTATTAACTGATATCTGAACATTGTACACAGTCATATCACAGTTGGGGTCTTCTGTAATACTATCATGGCTAAATAATAGCAGTTACATATATATTTGGACTTTTTAGGTGATGCTGTGGTCACAAGCTGAACAGCAGTGCTGTTACCTTATTCTGCGTGCGCCAGCCTTGGTTGCTTACTTGGTACTAAGGCTCTCGCACCTGGGAATGTTGCCCACGATTTTTTTTTTTAAATGGTGACTGTTTACGAGAGCCCTGTGGGAGTTGATGTGAACCCCATGTAGCTGTGGGGGTTTGAATGCTACGCTATACCTACGAGTACCCTGAGGTGCCTTGCGCACCACTGATCTAGCACCTCAAGGCGTGTTGTGCAGTGCAGTGGTTAAACCTACTTTATTCATTCATTGATGCTGAAAATGTGTATAATCCTGCTTTCAGTGATAAATTTAATATTAACTTTAGCTTTCTGTCATGGTATGGGGGGAGGAAGGTTTCATAACGATAGGGGTGCCTGACAGCCGGATGGACAGCGTTTCGGATTCGTAGTCCTGAGGTTCCGGGTTCGATCCCCGATGGAGGCGGAGACAAATGGGCAAAATGTTCTTTCACCCTGATGCCCCTGTTACCTAGCAGTAAATAGGTACCTGGGGGTTAGACAGCTGTTACGGGCTGCTTCCTAGGGAGAGTGTGTAACAAAAAGGAAGCTTGGTCGAGGACTGGGTCGCGGGGACACTAAGCCCCGAAATCATCTCAAGATAACCTCAAGAAGATGATTATTTCCTTATTGATGATGATCTAATTGGTGACATATGTGGCATAAGACAATCAGTGATGGTGACATCATGTATTCATCTTGCTTGTGGGGGCTGAACTTCAGCGGTTGTAGTCCGTCTTTGGCATCCCCTCTGGCATTGCCACTTTCACTTACAAGTTGCTGCTGCCAGTGAATACAGAAACCTCCCTAGAACAGTTCTAAACTGGGAGATGACCACTGTTGCAGACCTGGATAACTTTGTCCGTGCTTAATGGAAAACTTGATATTTCAATTGTCTGCAATACTCTCATGTAATTTGCATCAGAACAGTCTAAATACCTTTTCTAAGGGAAGCCCCCTACAACTCCCCGGAGCTATCCAGGCCGATATGGATATCCCTAACTTTGGCATCAATTGATGTGGGTGGAGTTCTAGGCCTACCGGGGACCACAAGCCAGAACCTGGCCCCCCTCAGAGAGGCATGAGGAACAATGGCCTATAAAAATGATTTTAAATAAATGTGATTTTGGAGCATTCTGTATCTGCCATCGACCAGGACAGGCACCCAGAAAGGTAAGCAAACTCCTATTCTGGCGACACCAACAAAAATAACCAAACAAGTGGACAGAACTCCCCTAAATGAAAACGAGCAAACGAGCATGACCTCACACAAGCTGCACCGCATGTCTGCACAGCTCCCCCCTCCCCAGGAGGGGGAAGGGGGGGAGCTGAGATTGCTGGACCCCCCCGCTCCGGCATTCCACACAGCAGTTCTTTGGCTGATGTGATACGGCTTGGTCTTTGTGGTTCCAGCTCCGAACTTTTGTTGTGGTGTCCTCTGTTCAGTACTGCTTTTATGGTGGTATGCAAGCTGGGAGTAATATTCACAGGTACCCGGGCTGCATGTGCTTAGGGTCACCATCCCTGAGTGTCCTGTAAGTACCTGTACCACCCTTGAGGCTTGAGGTTATCTTCCACAACGTAAATGCTGAAATAGAGGGAATACAGAGAACATATACGGCATGCATAGACACGATAAAGCACCTAAATTATTGGGATCGTCTCAAAGCCCTCCAAATGTACTCAATAGAAAGAAGACGAGAGAGATCAAATAACATACACCTGGAAGATACTGGAGGGCCAAGTACCAAATCTACACAGTAAAATAACAACGTACTGGAGTGAACGATATGGAAGAAAATGCAGAATAGAATCAGTGAAGAGCAGAGGTGCCATAGGCACAGAGAACACTGTATAAACATCTGAGGTCCACAGTTGTTCAACACCCTCCCAGCGAGCATAAGAAATATTGCCGGAACAACCATGGACATCTTCAAGAGGAAACTAGATGTATTCCTCTAAGGAGTGCCGGACCAACCGGGCTGTGGTGGGTATGTGGGCCTGCGGGCCGCTCCAAGCAACAGCCTGGTGGACCAAACTCTCACAAGTCAAGCCTGGCCTTGGGCCAGGCTTGGGGAGTAGAAGAACTCCCAGAACCCCATCAACCAGGTATCAACCAGGCACCTTGGGTCTACCTCTGTTGGTCTTTTGCTGCTTGGTGATTAACCACCCCGAGTGTTTTGGGAGGTTTCCTCCCTAGTTTACCTTGGGGTAAGTGGTAGCTATTGCACTGGCAGGGGTGTGGGGTACTGTGTAGCTAGTTTTCACCTATAACAGCGGCCGGCTCTCTTCCCTCTGGGTATGCTGTCCTTCTGCAAGTTTTTTTTTTTGCCTGGTGGGGGGGGGGGGGGGTTGGCATTGGTGTTCCTTTTCCTTATACAGTACTAGGGTTGTTTGTGTTTGATGGTACCCTCTGCTTCGCCCTCGTAAGTGGACACGTCCCGGAGGTTCAACATTAGCAGTGTTGATTGGTAACTTGGGAGGCGGTTACCAGTACCCTGTCTGGGATAACCCTTAGCAGATCCAGTCTAGAGGCCCTGGGAAACCCCGCAGGGGCGCTCGGGTCCAATGGATGCAACCCCTGAGTCCCCTCTCGCTTTGTGCAAATTTGAGGGCTGCTCTGTCCCCTTGTCTCAGGGCGACGCTCGTTGTTTTTGCCTCCATCATGCCGCCTGTTTGGTCGGTGACACATTCGACCCAGAGTACTGGGAGCTTTGTTGCTTGTTTGTGACTGAGTTCACCCAATTTGATGATGACTTTTTTCAGGTTCAGGCGGCTCGCGTATTGCAAGATAGGTTTAGGTTATTGCAGCGCACTGGGTTGGTTGCTTCCTCGGCTGCCCCCATTTTGTTTATAGGGACCCGGACTTGAGGGTGATAGTCGCTTCGGCCTTGGTTTCGTCCGCGCCCCAACTCGTTCAGTTGGCTCTGCCAGATGTACGGGCTCCCAGAGGTGGACTTCTTCGAGTCGGCGTGGTCATGGTGTCTTCTGTTTTATGTGGCACCCTTCCCCGACTGAGAGGCCGTCGGGGTCGATGCCTTGCAGCAGGACTGGTGGAGATGGGGATTACCTGTACCTGTTCCCCCGGTTCAGCTATTGCTCCAGGTCCTGACTCGCTTGGAGACTTACCAAGGGAGCGTTGTCCTCTTGACTCCTTGGTGGCTGGCCCAATCTTGGTTTCAGTCACTGCTTGCTCGGTGTCTCTGTGTTTTCTGGGCTCCTGGTCTCGGCCAGAAAATGGCATTTTATTACATTCATTGCCTGTTTTTGTTTTTCATCTATGGCAGTGCTAGTTAGGGCAGGGAAGATAGAATCCCTCCTAAAACAAATAGATAAAGAGGTATGCCTTGTTAGAAAGATCATGTAAGGTACAGTAATTCTAAAATAGATAGATCTTTTGGCACAAGCTATGGAAAGATGCAGAGTGTCTCACAGATGGCTGGATACCCCAGATCAGATGTAGCACTAGGGCCCAATGCTATCATGCCATAAAATATATTACGAAAGAGAAAGATATTATTGTGAAAAGGTTGTTGATAAGCTTTCAAGGAAAAAGTTGTGTTAATCTTTAGGTGAAATTAGAATACAAAAAGGCCATGCAAAAGGGTAATGAATGTCATGAATGATTCCTCTGACTCTCACAGTATATGTAGTGTTTTCAAAGAGAAATATTCCATGCTGTACAATCTGTATTTATAAAGGAGAATGTGTATTCAGCTAGTTGCGTTTGCGGGGGTTGAGCTTTGCTCTTTCGGCCCACCTCTCAACTGTCAATCAACTGTTTACTAACTACTTTATAAACTACTTTTTTTCCACACACACACACACACACACGCCAGGAAGCAGCCCGTGACAGCTGACTAACTCCCAGGTACCTATTTACTGCTAGGTAACAGGGGCATTCAGGGTGAAAGAAACTTTGCCCACTTGTTTCTGCCTGGTGCGGGAATTGAACCCGCGCCACAGAATTACAAGTCCTGCGCGCTATCCACCAGGCTACCAGGCCCCCGGTGTATGCGAGGTTGGATGCGAAATGCTTGGAGGTTAGCCTCACTAACCCGTTACTGCCCATCAGTTACTTGTCACACTTTCTAAACACTTCACAAGAAAACAAAATTAACCAAAAGTTTTGTTTATTCTAAAACAATATTGTTAGAATGGGTTTCCTGATCATGGGAAAGACAAAATAAATCCATTATCACACTTTGGCTGTAGTGAAACGAAGGAACCATGCTATGATGTCACATTTTGTTAGGTGCATAAGGAGTCGTTGCTCTGGGCAGGTTGCACACATCATTCAAGTGCCGAGAGTTCTTGATAATTACATTGATATTTCTGGAGATGTTGGAGTGGCCAGTGTCAAGTAAGTGCCTGGAAAAAAAGAATTGAGTTTGCTGGATGGGTGATTTCCTTCAGACAAATTATATCATTCGTTTGTGAACTATTTCTTCAACTGTAGGTGTGGACATCAGGCTTGATGTGAGATTGCAATGAGTGCAAGGATGGACTCCCAAGATTCATCTTGAACATTTCCTCCATTCAGAATTAAGCTTACCAAGTTCAGAATTTTGAAGGGCCTATATAGTTCACATCCGTTCAAGCTTAGCCATTGACTGTTAAATGACATTACTTTGGACTAAGTACAGTTTTGCTCTCTGCATCTCTTGAGGGGGCCAGGTTCTGGCTCTGGGGTCAGATTCACGAAAGTACTTACGCAAACACTTACGAACGTGTACACATTTTTTCAATCTTTGGCGGCTTTGTTTCCAATTATTAAACAGTTAATGAGCTCCGAAGCACCAGGAGGCTGTTTATAACAATAACAACAATTGAATGGGAAGTTTTCATGCTTGTAAACTGTTTAATAAATGTAACCAAAGCCGTCAAAGATTGAGGAAAGATGTACACGTTCGTAAGTGCTTGCGTAAGTGCTTTCGTGAATCTGGCCCCTGGTCTCCGGTAGGCTAAACAGAATTGTGACTGATGAGACTCGTAGTATGGAGCAATCTCAACAAAATAGCTACAGGGAGCCATTGGGGCTTTCTTGAATATTGGAACCACTTTTGAAATTTTCAGATTTCTGGTAACTCTGTTGTGTGTTGAACACTGGTTAATGGGTAACACAATATCATTGGTGATATCTAGTCTGGCCCGACTGCTCTTACTATGTCTTGTTCCTCTATCACGAGGTATAGTTTATTTGAACATGTGCCTTTTACTCAAGGTAGAGATGCAGGCTGATGTGTCTAGAAAATTCCTGAAGTAGGGGAGGGAGTGTACCTGTCAGGAAGGAAGCAGAGAGTTACAGTGTATTGATATTATAATAAAGTGAGGTAACAAGTAGAGTATCACACGGGGCATTCCTAGGATCTACCTTACCTTGCGATGATTTCGGGGCTTAGCGTCCCCATGACCCTGTTCTTGAGGACCTCCTGCTTCTATCCTATTCTATCTTATTGACAGAGGTTTAATGTCCTCTATCAATTGATATTGATTGATAAAGGTTCTATTCTATTGATAGTATATATCAGTTGCTAAACAAAGAAAATTGACTTTTTCATTTGAGTGGTTGCATTCATGTTGTATTTTTTTTAATTTAGTTTGAGCATTTATGGTAAATGATTGTAATACCTCAACATTTTTTTGTAGTTTATATAATTATAATAAAACTCTTTCAGCAAGTATTGCTTCACGCTTTCACATTACCAAGTACCCAACACTGAAGCTTCTACGCAACGGCCAGGCTTCAAAACGGGAGTACCGAGGTCAGAGATCTGCCGAAGCATTTGCGTCCTTCATAAAGGAGCAGTTACGGGACCCTATAAAAATTATTGAAAGCCTAGATGAAACACAAAATTTAGAGGTAGGTAAAAAATTAAGTCATTCTCATATTTTAGTATAGAGAACACTTAAATTCATCCCTGTGGAGTTAAATGATGTGTGAAATGATTCAATATGTAGTGAGTATTTAATGTAAATTTAATTGTGTAGATGATGATAATGACCACCAAGGAATGAGGTGGAGTGAACACAAGATGATGTCTTAAGGCATAATGGAGAGAGTGACATAACAAATACAAGATATTTATAGTAGAGGAGTGCACATAATATTTTGTGTGTGTGTGTGTGTGTGTGTGTGTGTGTGTGTGTGTGTGTGTGTGTGTGTGTGGGCGTATTGCTGACAGTGTAGTACAGTAACAGTGTAATATATGCTTCACCGAGATGGGGTCCCTGTTTTGACCTACCTCCACAGCTGGTTAGTTTGGGCTCCCAATCAGTCTGTGTGTTTGCTAGCAAAGGATCTGGTTCTTTCCCCGCTTGTTGGGTGCAGGTTTCTGGTAAACTGGCAAAAGTTCCAGTATTCGTCTAATTGTACTTGTGGGGGTTGAGCTTCAGCTCTTTGGTCCCACCTCTCAACTGGTGTACAGATTCCTGAGGCTATTGGACTCGTATCATATCTGTATTTGAAACTGTGAATGGAATCAGCCTCCACCACATCACTGCCTAGTGCATTCCATTTGTTAACTCTTGTGACACTAAACAAATTCTTTCAAATGTTTTCTGGGGGGAGCCCCGTCGGCTCCCCGGAGCTTTACCGGCTGATATGCTAATGTCAGACTTTGGCATCAGTCATGTGTATGGAGTTCTAGGGCCTACCGGGGACCACGAGCCAGAACCTGGCCCCCTCAGAGAGGCAAGGGGAGCAATGGCCTATAGAAACCCCCGTGTGGTTGGAAGCATTCTATGTCTGCCATCGACCGGGTCAAGCATCCAGAAAGGTAAGCATTCCAAAACAAACCCCTATTCTGGTGAAAATTGCTACCTAAGCCGAACTAGTGAATAGAACTCTTCAACAGAAAACACGGAAACTAGTATGACGTCATACGTCACCGCGCCGCTGTCTGCGCAGCTCCCCCCTCCCCGGGAGGGGGAAGGGGGAGCCCCAGACCTCCCACGCCGGCTATCCACCCATCAGTTCTTCGGCTGATGCTATAGGCAATGGTTATGTGCTCCGGCTCCAGTGGTTGTTTCAGCACTGTACCTAGAGTGTGGTGTCTGTTTTCTAGGTGGTGCGTGAGCCGGGTGTGATTCTTCAGTACTCGGGCTGCATGCGCCTAGGGTTCCCTTCCCTAGGTGCCCTGTAAGTACTGCCCTTGGGGCTTGGGGCCACCTTCCACAAGTTCCTTGGGTCCTGCCCCTGCTTGGCCGTTTACCGCTTGGTTTTCGGCCGCTCTTTGTGTGCTCGGGTGTTCTGTCTCCCTTGTTCGCCTTAGAGTAAGGGGCAGTGTTTGCACTGGTGGGGCGCGGGGTACTGTGCAGCTTGTCTTTACCAATCATAGCGGCCGGCTCTGTTCCGCTTGGGTACGCTGTCCTCTTGCGGGGTTTTCTTTTTCTTTTGTTTCTATACCTGGTGGGGGGGTCTGCCTTCGTTCTTGCCCCTTGTGTCCCTTGTGTTCTGAGTATTTCTGGTGGTACCCCCTGCTAGGTCCCCGTGAGTGTACACGTCCCGGGGGTTCAGCTCTTAGAAAGTTGTTTGGTAGCTTGGGTGCCGGTTAGCAGTACCCTGCCTGGGATTACCTGAGCGCGAGTCCTCTTAAAGTAAACGCTCGGGACCCTGGGAAACCCCTGGGGGCGCGCGGGTCCGATGGATGTGGCCCCTGAGCCCCCCCCTCGCTTCCAGCGAGTTTGAGGGTTGCTCTCACCTTTTGTCTCTGGGTGACTCTCTGTTTTGCCTCCGTCTGCTGCCTGTGGGGTCGGTGACACCTTCGACCCGGTGTCCTGCGAGTTTGGTTGCTCGTTGTGGCTCGGTTACCCAGTTGTGCTAACAAAGCGGGTGCGGGCAGCAGGGGCGTTGCACTTGAGCCTTGGTGGTGGCAACGTTCTCGTGGTTTCCTCCCCGGGAGCCCCGGGGCTGCCCCGTTGTATTTCGTTTTTCCCCTGGTTCACCCTTCCTGCCTGCATCCGGTTCCTTACCGTCTGTAGGTTCAGGGCGGGGTGTTTGGTGGTGTTGAGACTCGGGCAGTCTCGGGGAATTCCCCTTCCGGGGTAGTGACGGGGGCATTTGGGCCTGTTCCTCCAGCCGTGTTGTATGAGTCTGCCAGTGGGCTCCCTTCCTTAGTGTTTTCACGGCTGCCCCGGTTTTCTGGTACGGCCGGGGCTTTGGGGGAACGGCTCGGCCCCGGGGCCTGTCGTGTAGGTTCCCGGGGCTGGGGAGGGGCTGACTTGGGGGGCCTTGGCCCCGTTAGACCCCGTGGGGGGTTTTATCCCCCTCTAGGCGGGGCTTGTGGTTACGCGGAGTGGGGTTTTTCCTCCCCACTCGCCGTACGTGCTGTTGGACGTCGGCCCCTCCCCGGGCTCGGTTCCTTGGCCTTTGAGTCGGTTGGTTCCGTCCTGTGGGTGGATGTTTCCTCCCCCGCTTTTTGGGACGGTGTTTTTGTCATGTTTCCCCGTTCGATGGGGTTCTGCGTGACTTTTGATCTCGGGTGCGCCTGCGCCTTCGTGTGCCTTCGGGACTAGTGTTGGCTTCTGTGTTCTCGAGGGTACGGGAAGGTTTTTCGCTACTTCCCGCATTATTGGAACGTCTGTCGGCTCCTAGTACTTGTCGCCCTGTTGGGCTACTTGTCGCCCTGTTGGGCTACTTGTCGCCCTGTTGGGCTACTTGTCGCCCTGTTGGGCTACTTGTCGCCCGGTTGGGCTACTTGTCGCCCGGTTGGGCTACTTGTCGGCCGTTTGGGCTACTTGTCGCCCGTTTGGGCTACTTGTCGCCCGTTTGGGTTCCCTTTTTTTGGGCTCTTTGCTTCTTTGGCCGGTTTTCTTGTTCCTGCTTCCTCTTTTGGCTCTTTTTCTCGTGCAATAGTCCTGGCTGGCGCCTTCCCGCAGGGAGGGTGTGCGGTTCGGCCAGCGTGTTATGCGCATGCGCCGTGGAGTTTGTTTTGGTCTGGGCGATGGTTCAGTGCTGGGGTTTTGCGCCCTTTTTTGCTACAGTGCTTCGCCTCTCGTTCTTCTCCCTGGCTGCGGTATGTGCCCCTTTGCGCCAGGGGTGTCCTGGTTCCCAGTTGTGGGGAGGACACCGCGGTTTTCTGTGTCATGGGTGTGGACCGCCTCCTTCGCCTCTCCCTGTTCTCCTGCGGGTCCGGCTCTGGCGTCTTCACCTGGCGGTGCTCCCAAGTTCTTCTGGGCACGGTTGAGTCGTGTCAAGTTCGAGCCACCATTCGCCAGGTGAGTTTCTGCGGTCTGGCGTCTTTTGGCCGGGCGCTGGATGCGGCGGTGTTCATATACCTGTCTTTATTTAGGTATAATTTTGTACGACTGAGACCGTTCGCACACCAGTGACTGTCCCTTTATCACCCACTCCTGTCCCCCTCCTGTGCATGTCCAACCCTTGCTACAGTCGTTCAGGGGACCCTCCTTTTTTAATGTTGTGAGGTGTGGGGGTTGTAGGGTTGGTTCTGTACTCACCTGGTGAGGCTCCTGGCTGTGCTTGCAGGATTTGAGCTCTGGCTCTTGGGTCCCGCCTATCTGGTAGAACTTGCGGGATAGTACCAGTGGAGTGCAGTGGTGCTATTGGCACTTTTGGGGAACACTGTATTACCATCAGTGGTCTGTGCTTGTTACACGACCTACTTGCGAGCATAAGCCTTCTTGCTGGTTCGTCCGTGGACTTCCAGGGCGCACTGGCCTGTTTTCGTATGGCAGTTCCGGCCCGTCCTGGTTGTGGGGGTATGTGGGCCGGTGGACTGCTCCTAGCAGCTGCCTGGTGGGCCATCCTCTGGCCGGTCTGGCCTGACCTTGGGCCGGGCTTGAGGTGTAAAAGAGCTCCCAGTACCTCATCCAGCAGGTATCGAGCGGGGTTTCTCCGCCGTCGGTCGCCTGGTGCAGGTTTCTGGGCCTGCAGGGTTTTGTCGTGTCTCCGTTGGCCCTGTCTGGGGTCTGCCTGCTCCGTTCTCTGCCTTTGCAGAGGGGAGTTGCTATTTACATGTTGCATGTTGCAGTGGTGCCTGTTGCTGCTGCTGCTGCACGTGAGCATTGGTACCGTGTTTCACGGTGGCGTGTCCTTGTTCCTGTGTCCGGTTGTGGAGTGGCGCTTTGCTGCTGTTTTGTGCCTGGGGATTGCGTGGGGTTTTTGTCCCTGCCTGATTGTCCACCCCTGGTTGTTCTCCTGGTTTTTTTTTTTTTTTTTTTTTGTGCTTCTGCTCTTTCTTCCTGCCTCTTCTGCAGCAGGAATGTTCTGCGTGTGTTCTTAGGCGTTGGTCAGCCTGTGTCCTGTGATGTGCTTCTTTGTCTCGGTCTGTTGCAGTTGTTCGGGCCCCTTGGTTCGGGTCCTGTTCTGGCGGCGACCCTTCCGCCTTCTTTGGTTTTCCTAGCTTGCCCTGCCGGTTGTTGTTGTTGTTTTATTTTTTTTTTGGGGGGGTTCTTGCGATGTCTCGCGTCGGACCCGTCGTTTCTGAACTCCTGGCGGGCTTGCATGCTTCGGAGTTTTTCTGTTCGGCAGACGTTCCATCTCCTTGTGCCGCCTGGGTTTCGGTGGTCGCGCCCGAGATCTTCTCGCGGCTCCGCCTTTTTCCTGGGCTCGGGGGGGCCTTGTCGGGGCTGCTTATGTTCTGCCTCGTGGTCTCGCCTCCGGTTGGTGGTCGGGTGGCTTCGTGGTAGGTGTCCCACCTGCGTGCTTCTTGGCGGCAGTATGGGGTATTTTGGCGGTCCTTCCTTTTCCTGTCCCTTCTTCGGTGGGTCCTTCTTGTTGGCTTGGTTTACTCTCGGCTTGGTTTTCTAGTGGGGGTTGGGGGCCGTCGTCTTGCCACATACTGTCGCCTCTTTTCGTGCGGCGCAGGCGGAGCCGCTTCAGCTTGCTTTCGGTCTTGGTGT